GGGAAGAGACAGGCCCAGGGTGGGATCTAGTTCTACTACGTACTGGTTGCATGGCCTTAGCAGCTTGATAACAGCTGAAAATGCAAACTGTTGAAACTGAACAAAAGTAGGATTAAGAAAGGTTCTGAAACAATCCCTTCTCATTCTTACCAGATAAAAGTTGCTTTATAGGTTTTGAGTTGGAATCACTAGGTGCTTTCACATAATATGGGTAGATCTTTTCTATTGTCCTGTGCATTAAGGAAAAAAAAGATGGAATTAAGTGTTAGTTGTTTTACCTACCTAAAATTGATCTTTTTGTTGCTATTTTTGACCTTGTATCAACAAGGGTAAAAGTCCTCATAATTCTGTACTATGTGTAGACATCATAATTTATGGGTTTCTGTTATAATCAGAATTATCTGAAGCTGAACAAATTCTCCGGGTTCTATCCAGATATACGTATAAATGCTGTACGTATTGGCTTTAAAATGGCTACAGGCATTTTCCCAGGTCTGTGACTTGTTTCTGAAGCAAAGGGCTCTTTCTTGCTAGGATCTTCCAACTCATTTCTAAAACACTGACTGCACTTTCAATTTTAACTTTTAGGATTTCAAAAATATCTCTGTGAAGCGGACCACATGGGTTGTTCTAGTGAAGAGTGGGAGAGACCTGGTGACTAGGAAGTTGGGCTACCTGGCCGCTCAGGAGCCCAGGGACCTGGAGCACACCTAGACCTGGAATCTCATTTGGGGAGTTTTGGGAGAGAATCTGAAGACTCTCAAGCAGCCTTCAACTTCAGTGATTCACAAAGGACATCTCAGGGGACACTTCTGAGGACTGCATCCTGGTGGCCCTTATATTCAATGGTTTAAAAAGGGGCCAGGGTAAACTAGAGGACAAAGCTGGGCGGGCACCTTGAATATTCTGTTTAGCAATTTTATACCAATCTCATTTAAAATACTTTTCTTCCTAGTTCTCATATTAGAGTCTAAACATCACAGCTTACACCAGTTTGAAATGGAGCACTTGTGAGGCAGGATAATATTCTGAGATATAGTTTTTCCCTCCAAATGACCTCTTACCCCTTTTCTCCCCACCCCACCCTCCACCCCGTTCAGTCGGGCAGGTGTTCAGTGACCCAGGGGCAGGAGTAACAGTGGAAAAAGGGCTTTCCCTGGCTTTTGGTGATTACAGTCAGGTAAGAAGAGCAAGGTTTGCTGCCGCAGACAAGATCAGTACTTCCTGGGCTGGGTGGAGAGGGAGGAGCAGGAAGGGGAGAGAGGAAAGCTGGAACTGGTGGCTCCTAGGAAGAGTCTCGAGCCCTGCGCATTCCCTTAAGGGTGGACAGCTGAAGGGGCGCCCGAGATCAGGTGGCTGATGGGCTCACAGAAGCTCTGGGTCATTTCACTGCAGCCCAGTGTCCTCCCGCCCCCCGTGCAGGAGCAACGTGGCACCACCAGCCACGTTACGGCCGGCAGGTGGACTCAGGAGAGCTCTCCAGAGTTCATGCACCTCCAAGCAGCGC